ACTACTACTACTACTACGATCACTACTACTATTACTATTACTACTATTACTATCACCGTTACTACTACTACTACTACTACTACTACTACTACTACTACTACTACTACTACTACTACTACTACTACTACTACTACTACTACTACTACTACTACACTACTACTACTACTACTACTACTACTACTACTACTACTACTACTACTACTACTACTACTACTACTACTACTACTACTACTACACTACTACTACTACTACTACTACTACACTACTACTACTACTACTACTACTACTACTACTACTACTACTACTACTACTACTACTTTTACCACTACTACTGCTGCTCTTACTACTACTACTACTACCACTACTTCTACTACTACTACTACTACTACTACTACTGCTACGACTACGACTACGACTACTACTACTACTACTCCTACTACTACTACTACTACTACTACGACTACTACTACTACTAGTACTACTACTACTACTACTACTACTACTACTACTACTACTACTACTACTACTACTACTACTACTTCTGCTGCTGCTGCTGCTGCTACTAGTACTACTACTACTACTACTACTACTACTACTACTACTACTACTACTACTACTACGACTACTACTACTTCTACTACTACTACTACTACTACCCCCCGTTAATTTGACCCCCATGCTCTCCCTCGCCGACGTCGCTGCGAGAGAGGGCGGCTTTTGTTTTCGCGAAGGAAATGCGGGGCGAACGTTTGTTGGAAACCGATTGCACAAGGAATCTGAATGGCAAGCGATTGTTTAGGAATTCGTATTGGAAGCCTATTGCGAGGGAGTTCTCGTGGAAACCAAAGTTAAAGGAGTTCCTGTCGTAAACCGATTGTCAAGGAATCCGATTGGGAACCGATTGGAAAGGAATTCCCATTGAATATTGGAAGCTGATTGTGCAGGATTCCGATTGGGAACCGACTGCAAAAGGAATCCCAATTGGAAAATGATTGTGCAGGAATCGGAATGGAAACCGATCGGAAAGGAATTTCTTTTGGAAATTGTCTGTTCAGGAATCCTAGTGATGGGAAATCGATAGTGTAGGACGTCGAGTTTGGAAACCGATTGTATGGGAATTCCTATTGGGAGCCACTTGTGAGGGAATCAACTTCGACATCGATTGTATGAGAATGCTATGGCAAACCGATTGCCTACTGGAAACCGATAATACAGGAATCTGTTTGGAGACCGAGTACATGATAAGCATATAGGAAACCGATTGTGTAGTGAATATTTCTCGGGACTTGTTGTATTGGAATCTAACCGATTATGTAGGAATCCCATTTGCAAGCGAGTGTCTAGGAATACAGTTGGAAACCGGTTGTGCAGGAGCATTATTGGAAACCGATTGTGTCGGAAAACAAATAGGGAATCTATTGTGCAGGAATTATATTGGAAACCAAGTGCAACAAGGAATTTGTATTGGACAGTGACTGTGCCGGAATATGTTTAGAAATCGATTGTAATATAATTTGCTTTGGAAGCCGATTGTACAGGAACTTTTCTAACAACAGATTGGATAGGAGTTCCTAGTTTGAAAACCGATGTTCTAGGAATTCCTTGCGGAAGCCGATTACAAAGCAATCTTGATAGAAACCGATTGCACCGGAAATTCATTGCGAACCGATTGTGTAGGAATTCTTATTGGAAACCGATTGCGGGGGAATTGTTATTGGAAACCGATTTTAAAGAAATCACATTGGAAACCGATTGTCGGACGTCCTATTGGACAGAGTGTGCAGGAAGATTTTTGGAAATGATTTGTGAAGGAATCATGATGGAAACCGCTTGTAGAAGGAATCATATTGAAAACGGGTTGTATAGGAATCTTTTTTGGAAGCCGATTGTATAGGAACCCCGTTGGAAATTGAAACATAGGAATCCGATTCAAAGTTGATTGCTAAGCGGAACCCGATTGAGAATCGATTGTCGTAGGACCCCCGTGGGAATGGAATGTATTGGGGTTTTCCGGGCAATCGGTTGCTTATGAATTCTTTTTGGAAGCCGATTGTGCAGGTTCCACTTCGGCAATCCAGCGTCGAGGAAACCAATGACATGAAACAAAAACGATTGTATAGGAATTCAGACTAGAAACCGACTACAAAGAGAACCCACTTGGAAACCGATTCTGCAGGAGCCAAATTGGGATCCGATTGTACATGAGTCGTATTAGAAGCCGATTGCAAAGGAATTCGTATTGGAAGCCGATTGCGTTGGAATCGTATTGGGAACCGACTGCGTAGGGATTCTCACTGGAAACCGATTCTGCAATAATCCAATGGAAGTTCATTGCAAAATAGTTCTGATTTGGAAATTGATTTGAAAGGAATCCTATTGAAAACGGGTTGTATCGGAATCTTTTCGGGCATCGATTGCATAGGAACCCGTTTGGAAATCCAACAAAACGATCCCGATTGGATACCGAATGTAAGGGAACCCGATTGGACACCGATTGTATAGGAACCCGATTGGGAATCGAATGTCTTGGGATATTATTGGCAATCGTTTGTGCTTTCTTTGTTGAAATTGAGTGTAAAAGCTTCTTGTTGGAATTCCACATAGTCGTAGGCATCCGATTGGAAACCGACGGTGTAGGAACTCCGATGGGAAACCGATTATAAGGGAATCCTTGTAAACGAATTCCTATTGAAACCGATTTTAAAGGAATTTTATTGAAAACGGGTTGTTTCGGAATCCTTTTTTGGAATCGATTGCATAGGAAACCGATTGGAAATCGAAAACTAGGAACAGCATTGGAAACCGAATGAAAAAGGAACCCGAATGGAAATCGATTGTATAGGAACCCGGTTGATAATCGAATGTATTGCGATCTCATTGGTTTTCGTTTGTATATGTTTTGGAAACCGACTCTAAATGATTCATTTTGGAAATCCAGTGTCGAGGAAACCAATGGGAAACCGATTGTGCAGGAAATCCAATAGGAAACCATATGTGTAGGACATCGTATTGGAAACCGACTGTACAGGAGTCCTATTGGAAACCGGTCGCGTTGGAATCCGAATGGGAATCGATTGTATAGAAACGTTATTGGAAATTGATTGCGCCGAAATCCTATTGGGCATCGCTTGTATCTAAAATGGGGAGCAGCCCCTCTAGAGGGGGAGCGCCCCCTGGAAGCCCCTCTTTAAGGGGAGTTGTTGGGAAAACAATCCCTGTAGAAACCTCTGGAAGGGGAACTCCCGTGTACAGTGATAAAACGGTTCTAGACTCTAGGAGGGAACCCCCTCCAGAGAGGGGAACCTAGCTTTAGAAACCCTTTCTAGACGAGTTTTCAGCACATCGCACGGGCCAGGAAACCTTTGCAGGTTTCCCCTCCTCCTCCTTCCTCCTACCCCTCCTCCTCCTCCTTCTCCTCCTACTCTTTGCCATTCGCAGCTGGGGGAATGGAGCGAAAACCAAAGACAACATTGAACAACACCAAACAAGTCAAAGAAATCAAAGAAATCAAGGACCGAAGGCCGAACACAACAACAAACATACACAACCAAAAAACAAACAACACAACGATTTCAATACTTGGTCCACTCCCGCCCCCCCCGCGTAAGTATTGAAACCTTGTTGTTGTTTAGATGGTGTGTTTTGTTGTTTGGTTGTCGGTCTTTGATGTTTTTGTTTTTGTGGTTGGGTTTCAATGTTTTGTTTTGGTGGTTCAGCCCCGAGGTGGAGGGAGAAGAAGAAGTGGATACTGATAATACGGACGACGGGGAAGGATGACAGGAAGAAGAGAAATGAGGATCCCGAAAACGAGGAGGAGCAGGAGGAGGACGAGGAGGAAGAGGACTCTTGACATTCGGCTCCCTTTGAAAAAAAACACACGTGTGCCTCTCCCTTTTCTTGTAAACGGTATCGGGGGATCATCGGGGTCAAATTTAAGGGGGGGGGAGCGGTACTATTACTACCAGTACGATTACTACTATTTTTACTACTACTACTACTACTATTACTACTACTACTACGACTACTACTACTACTACTACTACTACTACTACTACTACTACGACTGCTACGACCACGACTACGACTATTACTATAACAACAACTACCAGTATTACTACTACTACTACTACTACTACTACTACTACTACTACTACTACTACTACTACTATTACTATTACTACTACTACGACTACGAATGCAATTTCTGTTTCTACCACTGCTGCTACTACTATAGCCACTACTACTACTACTACTACTACTACTACTACTACTACTCCTACTACTACTACTACTACTACTACTACTACTACTACTACTACTACTACTAGCACTACTACTACTACTACTACTACTACTACTACTGCGACTGCGACTGCAACTACAACTACAACTACTACCACTCCTCCCGCCTGTCTCCCCCTAGTCACCCCCCCAGGACTTTTTCTGCCCCAAAGGTTTTGTCACCCGAAACGGGCCACCATGAGTTTTTCCTACCCGTGTGATGCAGAAACGGTTGAAGACCGATCGGTTTACAAAAACATCGCAATGTCCCGAATCGGATTCTAGGGGGAAATCTCGTCTTGGGGCCCCTCTCCTCTCCCACCCCTCCCCCTTCCCTTCCCTTCTCGTTCCTTTCCCCTCCCCTCCTTCTGATATGTGTGGCAGAGCTAAGTCGTCGTCTTCGTTCGACGACTACGAGGACGACGACGACGACCGCGTTCCCCGTCGTGTACCCCACGCAAGAATTGCCGGCACACATCGTTTATTATCCCCCCGCGGCCCCGATCCTTATTTTCCTCCTCGTGATTACCTGGGGTCCTATGTTACCCAATCATCGTCTTCATGCTGTGTTCTCTTCTCCATCCGATCGTCTCGACCGCGCCCTCTTCCTTTTCATCCCCGATAGCGCTTATTACTCCCAATGTTCCTCTACATGTTTCTATTTTCCAATTTGTTGCCTGACCACCTTTTTACGATTCAACCTTTCTGTTGTTGGCCAGGCGCTCGGGATACATTCCGACAAGACGCAGCAGCAGCGCATGTGGGCGCCGCTTGAGGGGGATGGGCGCCGTTGTTGAGCAAAAGCCTTGCATGCTCGCTCCCTCCTCGTCTCGTTCCGCCACTGTGACTCGAACGCGGATCGCTCAGAGCGTGTCGCACGTTTTTCCCTTTTCCGTTCATGGGGGCCCCATCGACACTATGTTGGTTCCCCGTTGATATGGTTCCCTATTCTCCTCCCTTCTGCGCCCCGTTTCTTTGCGCCCCCACTCGAAGCGTTGACAAGTGCATTGCCCAGCCATGCAAGGAGCAAGATGGCCTGGGAATCGCTGACCCCATTCTAGTTGATGGTCTGCTGCCAAGGCAGGCGGCCCTCGTTGTCTTACCTTCGCTGTGGGCGCCCGCCCAGATGCTTCGGATGCTGAGTTAATTTTTCTGTGCCGTGATCCATCTCCATCCTCCTTCTTTATACTCCTTGTTTTGCCACCAGACGTGTCGTTAACGCGGGCCCGGCGTTTCGCCTGATATGTTTTTAGCGTGGACCTAAACATTAGCTTATTGTACTCTCGATGATCATTTGATGTGATGCAGTATACGTTGTGTGATGCAAGATATTAGGTGCAAGCTTTGTGGTGCAAGTTATGTGGTGCCAGCTAGTGGTCTAAGATGTGCTGCACAGCTTGTAGTCGTCGACTCCACTGCTCATCCTGTCCACCCACCCGCAAATAGGTAAACCACGTTCGGTCACGATTGTGGTTCGCGATTGGAGTTTGCTAGCGCTTTTCTCCAGCCCCATTGACCCGCGCACTTTCGCGCACAGATCGACCAGTTGGCTTGTCCCAGTTGATGCGGCTGCGCTGGGGCTTACCAGTTGGAATTTCCAGGCGTCTCTCCAAGCCCGCACTGGCGCGCGGACGGTTCAGTGCGGGTCGGGGAATTTGGTGGGCGCGATATCATGATGACGTCCATAACAACGGCAATTGTGAGGGGGAACGGTTTGCTGTGTACCGCACAACTTGTGGCAGCACAGGGGTGGTGGTGGGTTTGTTACTTCCCACCCATCAGTATCGTTAGATAGTGTGTAATCCTGTGTCCATCGGGGGTGGTTGAATTTTTCAAAGGCGCTTGAAAGTCTAGGGCGGAGACATGGATGGAGCGTGTGATCCATCATACGGCAGTCCCGAGAAACCCGGGCAGATGTAGAACAAATGCGGGGGGCAAGATGAGCCCTCCTTATGTGCTGCCATTGTGCTGCGTCGCGCGGCAGGCTTATCACATAACCACTAAATGTAGAAAAAAGGGCCCGTTCGAACATGCGCGTGTGTGAAACAGCGGATAAAGTTAAGGGGGCGGATATTTCTTCCCTATTTGTTGCCACTGTGTTGCGTCGCGTGGCAGGCGCATTCCAACACCATTGAATGTAAAACGTAGTTGATTGGACATGCCCGTGCGGCAGTGAACACAGTAGGACGCACGGTGCCGCAGCGATGTGGTATCAAAACCCACTATTTGGCACGAGGAAGCGCGCGTGCGATTCGTCTTCCCCGCCCTCCCGCACCACAGGGGGAGGAAAGGTGTTGATTGTCAGCTTTGGGCTGTTCAGTATGACCTGCAAGTTCAACGCGTCGCTGCTTGCCACGCGCAGCTCAGCCCAGACAAGCACCCACGCCAATGTGCACCGAGCATCGTTGCAGCATCTTTGGGGAAACAGTCGTCCTTTCGACTGTTTGGCCTGTCGCGCGCTGCGTTTGGTCGTGATGATGATGACGATGGTGGTGGCGCCGATGATGACGATGACGACGGCAAAGCCAATGACGGCGATGCCGGTGGCGACGATGACGATGTTGTCAATATGTTGCTACTGAAGGAGGTTGTGTACCGGTTGGCGATGCGATGTCGCTGGTGAGAGCGATGGGTAATTGCGCTTTCAGACACTCCAGAAGCCAAGCAAACCTTTTGTAAAAAAATACACATGGTGTTCCCCAACCCCCTGTGTGATTTAGATATTCGGTTGGAGTCGGCCGCGCCGCGCCTGTCTTGCTCCTCCTCCTCCCCCCCTTTCCTCCCCTCGCTTTTCCTTTCGTTGCCGTTTTGGCTCAGGGGGGGGCGGGCCTCATTTGAGTGTTGCAGTGGAGTTCTTTGAGCGCTCGTGAGTTCGAGTTCAGGCGGGCGCCTTGCATCCCTCTCTTCCCCTCGCTGTGGGCGGCTGCGCGCATCTTGCTGCAGCGAATCCCTGTCTTGCGCCATTGTCCCCGATGCGGCCGCGATGCGCGTACTTTTGGCGGGCGAGTTCCAAGCCGCTCAGCAGCGGTCAACTCGCTCGGAGACATGATCAACAATGATATGATGAATGGCAGGCGCCTGGGGCCTCACCCGACTGACGCATTTTCAGACGCCAGTGAGAACAATCCCCCCTGCGCGAGGAGAGCAAGGCCGGCGTTGCTCGGGCGGCTGCGCAGGGGGCGCGGCGCCCCCCCGGCAATTCCCCGCTGGCCGTGGACGAGATGGCCGACGATGACCCTTACAGTGAAGGTCAGTCCCGCCCTCGCCCCCATCTTGCAGCCGATGTTAAACTGGCCGCGCGCGCGGAGAAGATCAGGGCGCCGCTGAGTTCTCGCGCGACGACCTCCGCGAGCAGCGGCGCCTCTTCGCGCGGCGACCCGCGGTCGATCCGCTCGACACTGAGTGCTCGCGGCCCAGCGCGCGGCGATCCTGGGCGCGGAAATGCCGCCATTGAGGGTCGCGCTGGGGAGATGATTTGGAGCAGAGGCCCCTTGGGGAAGACGATTTCCACGGCGGAGTGTCATTGGCGAGATTGAGAGCGAGGGCCCGCGGGCGCCAAGCATGAAATTATGCTCGAAACCTTTCGCGGGCGCCCTCCGCCGATCCAACTCGGCCGCTGAGGGGGCGCGGGACATCGCGCGGGCTTCCGCGGGCGAGGGCGAGCTCGGCGCGTTTGCCGCCGCCCCGCAGGCCGGCGTGACAACGATTGACTTCGAGCAGAGCTGCGCTGTCTCATTTGCGGAACCTGCCTCGTCGCTCGCCGCGGAGCGGCGCTCGTGGCAGTCGAGCTGGAGACGGGCCAGAACACCTCGGGGCGCGCTCGCGGGGAGAGCGCGCCGCTGCTGCTCGGCCGCGCGGTGGCCCGCTACGGGCCGGGCGTTGAAGGCGCGCGTCTGCGGGCCCCCCCCCGCCCCTCTTCCTCTTCCTCGTCGTTGTTGCCTCCTCCTCTTCAACCCTTGCGCTTCGCGCTGCCCGCGGCGCTCGATTCTGCCCGGCTGGCGGCGGCCCGCTTAGCAGTCGCGGCGATCTGTCTTAGCCGGTTCAGAGTTTCGAAGTTGCGCCCGGACATTCGCGCGCGCTGTTTGGGAGCGGCCATGCCGATCATCGGCGCAAGCGCCGCGAGCGCGTCAAGTTCGGAAGCCTCGTCGAGATTCAGCGCTGCATTTGCGCGCGAGACGCGGGGCGCGCCCGATGGTCTGGAGCCTTTGAAACGCGACCCCCCTTCCCGCGTCCGCATGGGAAGCCACTGCAGCGCCCCTGGGCCCAACTGATGGCGGCGCGGCTTGTTCGATCTCTGAGGGGCATTTTTCCATGCGTTTCCCGCGGTCAGGCTTTCTGAAGTTGCGCGAGGGCGCGGCGGTTCGTTTTGTCGGCCCTCTGGGTCGGCTCGCGCGCGGGAGTGCGCGCGCGGGGCCGCCCCTGTCTGCCGGCGCAGCGCGTCGCTTTCTCTATCGACTGTGTCTCAGCGCTCCCGATCGCGTCGAGGGCCTCACTTGCCTCGGCGGCGATTGATATCCCCCAGAGACCGACGAGCATGGGCAAGCTATCGACGGCAGAATCATGATCCCCTTGAAGCGTGCACGGGCCCCGTCGAGCCCCCCCTCCCTGCGCGGTGAGTTCATTGAGAATCCCCAAGAGAAATCCATTCATGGGGCCTCCATTGGCGATGTTGTCTTATTGGCCTGCCGACTTGATCGCGCGTGCCAGTCTGCGCCGACAACGGAGATGCCTGACTGGCGTGTGCGTTCGAGCGCGATGGGCCTCGCTCGCGGGGGGCGCTGATCTCGCGGTCACATTCCCGTTTTCGTTCAGGTCGTTCGCGTGGCCAGTCTTGCATCCTTCCCGAGGCGGGTCGCCGCGCATCCGCAGTTCCCCGAGCGCCTCGGGCGGGCCCGAGCTCAACGGCGCCCCGCTGGAACGCGCAAAGGGGCGCGCAGCCGCGACGCTCGCGGCAGCGGGCGCTCTTGCCCGAGAGATTTCTCGTCGAGGGTCAACGGATGCAAGACTACGTTTGGCAATCTGCTTGAGGTTGATGCGCGGTGCTCGCGCACGCAGGCCTGTTCCACTTCGCTCGTGCCTTCGCGATCTTCCGGATCTGGGAAATTGCTATGACTTCCGTGACGTTCTTTGCTCAGACTATGAAGGTATTCGACGCGGGCTGCAGCGCGACGACGCGGGCGCGCCAACGCGCGAGCTGCAGCGCGACGACGCGACAGCTAGCGGCAACGCAGATGTCGCACGACAGCCCCGCGCGCAAGCTCTGTTGACGTGGCCCCCCCAGAAGACGGTAGCCGGCTACTTCTGCGTGGATGCCCTCGATCTTCGCCACCCGGCTCTCGCTCAGTCTGCAAGGCACCTCGCTGAGCATTGGGGCGAGGTGCAGCGGCCTCTTGCGCGCGCCCCCCGGGCCCGCGCCCACCTCGCCGCTCGCCGATCTAGCCAGCGAGCTCCAACGAGTTTCGCCGGGCAATTAATTTGATTTGCTGGAGTTCGAGTGGTCGGCGGTCACGAGTTGATCGGATTCTCCCGCAACGGGCCTTGATGGCACCCCTTGCAGTGGACGGAGGAAAGGAGGCCCCGCGGCGCAGCGCGCGCGGTTCGCGGCGCGCGAGGCGCGCATCCGAGGTCGGGCCTCCCCCCGCGTTGCAATGACGTGCTCCTCGCAACCCCCCCCCAGGTTGAAGTCTCGGGCGGCGGCTCCAAGGCGATTCTGGAGCCCGCGCAAACGCGCGCGGTGGCCCTCAGCAGTAGCACAACAATTCAA